TTGAACTTCATTATCTCTTTAACAGGGTATCAACACCTAATCATCTATGCTCTGTCTTTTTTTAAAAGAATAGAGAGACCTTCAAACGCAAAGTCTAGAAAATAAGTTTTGAATCAAATCTCTTAATATTATTTTTGTCACCTATCATCATTTCAAGTGTTTTAAGTTTAATGTAACTAATGTTTAAGACAAATAATTTTTTTTATATATTTAGGCTATCATATAACCAACTGTACTATACTTACTAATTTTTAGAAAAGTGACAGAATGTCACATTTTCACATTCTTCATGAACAAGCATTTTGCATACGTCAATTTAATTGATTCAAAATTTTCTTTTTCATGTATATTAACATAAAATAATGTTTGAATTTTTATGTTCAAATTAACTTCATCCAACTTATTATATTCCTCCACATCTTCCAAATAGATTTTCTCCATGCATATAGACTCTTTAATCCAATTTTGTGTGCACACCAAAACTTCCACCATTCTAGGAGTTAAAGAACTACGAAATTGATCAAGAATTATTCCTCCGATACTGAAAGCACTTTCTAAAGCCACCGTAGACACTTGAATAGCCATTACATCTCTTGCAAGTTTTGACAATGTACCATATTTGTTTCCATTAACTTTCCACCAATTAAGAACATCAAAAGCAAACAATTGAATCATGTGCTTCCTTCAACCCCTCACACACAATCAAATTAACAATATGCTTACAACACCTCATATGTAGGTACTTTCCATCTAAAACACACCCATCACCACTTCGACCAATCATCTTCCTCTTAATATAAGAAATAGCCGTTTCATTTGTAGTTGCATTGTCAACTGTGATGGTAAACAATCTCTCAATACCCCCATGCACGCAAACAAGTCTCAATAGTTTCACCCTTATGATTAGCAATCACACAGAAGCCCAAAATCAATTTATGAAGCTTCCAATCAGAATCAACATAGTGTGCTGTGAGAGACATGTAATTAATATTTTGAATAGAACTCCAAGTAGCAGTAGTAAGAGAAACTCTTTGACGTTGGATGATTTATTTCAATTGCACTTTTTAATCCAAATACAATTGATAAATATATCTAACAACGGTTCTACGAGGTGGAGGATCAAATTTAAGACACGCTACCCTACAAAATTGTCTAAATCCCTCAACTTCGACAAACTTAAAAGGTAATTCATCCAATATTATCTTCTTAGCATGTGCAAGCCTGCACTCTTCCTTGTTAAAGCCAACTAGAATGTTTACGCCGCCCTCAGTTGGGCTTTTTTGTCGTTTATCTTCCAATCTTTCAGGATACTTCTTACAATAAAGAACCAAATGATTTCTCAAGGTACTAGTCCCACAGTTCCTAGCCCCACAAACATAATCTTGCCCACAATAGTTGCATACACACCTAACATCTTCTGCGTTTGGATTTCCTATAACTGTGAAGTGTTCCCACATGTCCGAAGATTTTCTATTTTTTCTCTTCCCTAAACATGATGGTGGAAGTGGAGGAACATATGTTGAAGGAGTTTCACCAATAGCTTCAATTTCACTATCTATATCCATGTTCATATCTATACAAATCAAACAAAATAAGAGAATAAGAGACAAAACTACGAGACAATAACATGAAATATTTGCAATAAAATCACAGGTAAAAGATGCAGCACTACAGTCCACCAACATTATTGCTGGTAACACCTTCAAAACCAGTGCCAAGGCAGCTAAAAGACTGCAATACGAAATAGTAGCTTATAGCAAGAGTTATTAATGGAAAGATAGAAATGCTATTATCGCGTGAAAGAACAGTAACATTGTTAAATTATGAATAATATTGGTCTGTTTATCCAATAGAAACACAATGATAGAGGGAAGAGTAACCCTCCACCTTATCAAACAAGGTGCCACAAGAACAAACAAGCAAAAGAAGGGAACAAATTGCACCAGTTAATACATATGTAATCTTTATATTTACAGGGTAAGAAGCCGCATCACCATTGTAGACTTCTTTAGCTCCAATTGCAACTTTCACAGGATTTACCTTTAATAGGTCCACAAAGCTCATCAGCATCTTTATCATACAATTATTTTCTTGGTTTTTCTTATTGGCATAAAATTAAGGACAATTCCACTTGTACATCAACGTTTGTACATTAAGGGATACATTTCTCTTACATGAGAGGTGGGACCCATTGAAATAATGTTTTTTTATTCGAGTGGACCCCACCCCTCATGTGAGAGACGTCTAAACCCCTATGTAAATCTTGATGTACCACTAGCATGGTCCTAAAATTAAGCCTTCACAGGTTCATCATCATCCTCAATATCCCAACTCAAATCTTCATCTTCTTCTACAATGCTCAACCGATTTCTCAACTCATCTCTATTCGTACTCCCACCATGAGTTGTACTAACTTTCTTTCCTTTAAGAACACCCAATCCCTCCACCAAAAAAGTAAAAACTCACAGAACAAAAGCTATAATCTATGTCAAATTAAAGGATCTAATTTATCTTTTCGATTCAACTTTTGTAGATAAGAGCAACAAAGGTGACTCAACCTATTATTAAAAATGAAACCAATAGCTAACTTTTGTAGGGATGGCAAAAAAACCCGACAAACCCGATACCCGCGGGGACCCGCCCCGAATGGGTTGGGGAAAACCTGCTTAAACGGGTAACGGGGCGGGGATGGGGCGGGGAATTATTCCCCGAGGCGGGGACGGGTAACGGGGTCCCCGCCCCGCCCCGTTAAAAAAAAAAAATTTTTTTTTTTTTAGAATTCAATACTTTAAATGAATATTTTCGTTAGTTCTAATAGAAAATAGCAACTAAAATTATTTGTCTAAATATAATGAATATGGACAATAAAAATAANGGCGGGGGACGGGGAGGGCATCCCCGCCCTCGCTCGCGCCCCGCCCCGCCCCGTTGCCATCCCTAAACTTTTGAAGTTAATACCCAGAACATAAGTAAAGAAGCAACCATATACTCCTCGAAGAAACGTGATCTTAAAAAAAATAAAAATCGATTTTTCAAACAGCAAAATCGATTTTTCAGTTTGAAAGATTCAAAGGAATGAAATTATTGTATCAAGTTCCATCAATTGGACTTTCAGTTTGAAACGCATACAGAATTCAAACAGCAAAATCGATCACCTTAATTCCGGTGAATGATTGGCGAAGTTCTTCTTAAGGTACAATAACCAGTTTTGCGAAACACCTGCTCCTATATCCGGATTCTTCAATGGTTTCGAAATCTCCCCCTTATATAGAAATCAGTGGCCGAAGGCAGGAGGTTTGGTTTTGAAGCACATAAATTTCACGTTGAAGTGGGTTTGAAACGGGGATAGGATTTTTAATTGGGTAGGTTTTTTTTTCTAAACCGACCCAACCCGACTCAACAAAAAAAAATAATAATAATAGAGAATGGATGGATAAATAAATAAATCTAGAGACACGATAAAAACATTTCAATATAAAAACCCCAAATACAAACATACCAGAGTTATTCTAGGATAAATCTATATGTACGTAATTATTGTACATAATGAATTATATATGCCCATATGAAAGAAATTTGGTCGTGAATGTGAAAAATAAAAAACTATAGACTATCGATGGATGCGCGACACATGTCAATTATGTAATGTATTATGTAAAGAGTAATGCTATTCATAGTCGCTCACTGCATAAGTCGTTCTATGTGACACACACATGACATTTAGTTATTTGATGGATTCATGTGATAGTTTTTTGATCACTTTAATAAATTAAATACACATTTAACATGTGTGTCACATAAGATGACATTGGGCGATTCAACGCACGCACGCAGTAAATATATTCACGAACTTGTAGTAAACCTAGCGGTTTCTGCTCGAAAGACTATTGAATTCGAAGCATAAAATCAGAAAATTGAACTGTATTTCCTTTTTTATCAAATAATTTCTTGTGCCCTTCCGTAATCACAACGATGATTTACTATTAAGGGTTTTCAAATTTCTAAAATGATCACCCATGGAATGAAGTTTTTAGGATTTGATTAGTTCAGAATGGGTGGATATTTTGAACGATTTTCTGTTTTAAATTTCTTAACTGGATTTTTTTAATGAGATTTTGGGTTGTATGAGAGAGTGAATTATATTTGGAGGTCCAAAAATGAACACCGAAAGACAATTGGCGAGTGTTAGGGACCTCGTGGAGGAAGCCAAGAAGCGAATTGTGTTTTTGATCGTATGTGTTGTAGGCCTGTCCTATCTGATGTCCTGTAAGTAATTCACTTTTATTTTTTCATTTTTCAATTTTGACGGCGAATTATTTTTCGCTGTTGCTTAGATTACTGTCGTTTATTTTCTACTTTCTGTTTATTGGGGAATCAAATTTAGTGGGACAAAATTACAAATTAGAGGAGGTGATATCACCCAGTTTGAGGATACCAAAAAGAGGAGAAAAGTTCATAAGGGCAATATAGCAAGCTGACTACAATGCTGAATGCCGTATGTGGATGCACTTGCTTGCCTACAACATGCAGATTGCTGTAGGATTTGGGCTACTTTATTTGTTAAGTAGAATACAAAAGTTTATAGTACTTGCAATGGACTAAGAAGTAAGAACCAGCGACTATTATGTCTGAAAAAGAAATGCTATCATCCATATATTCCGTTCTGGTGTCTATAAATGCTTACTATGGTGTTCAATGGGGTAGCACTTGGAAGCATATGTCCTATACACAGGTCTAATCACTCAATTGAAAACTGTATGTGTAACTATTATGCACATTGCATGCATGGGAAGAACCTAATATCATTTATTTGTTTCTCATTTATGACATTTTATTTTTATTTTTATATTGAATCAATTTGAATACGTGCCTCAAAGGTTACAACGTACAGAGGTTCTCAATTTGTTTCATAAACTGCACAGTAAGCTTTTCTGCACACTTATTACTTATCTGCCTATCTTGCATTATATTTATGCCTCTCGAGTCTTGTTCTCTGGATGTTGTGAATTGTCGATTAAAAGCTTCTGGATGTCATAACATTTGGATAAACATAACCTAGACAAAAATATTTACTCTTTAACATCTTAGAATACTACGTCTTCATTTAGTAATTTGATCAGCAGCTCAGATAGACAGTATTTCAGCATGGTTCTGTTATAAAAATCATCTTCTTACCAACCCTATCCCACCCCTATACCCTCCCACTCATGCATGTATCCATGTATATATTATTTTCTTATTGGTTATATGATGGACAAACTGTTCCGTTCTCTGTCCTGCCCCCAATTACTGGGCTTGGCTTTATTCTTTTCCTTACTGCCCCTCTCTCTTCCTAGTAACAAGCTCATCAGTTTTAGTCAACTTGCCTGCCGCTGCCGTTCTAATAATCATCTTTCGCTACTGGTCTCTGGAATTTGATATGCGGAGAAAAGCTGCAACTTACAAAGGCAAACCAATAGCTGTAAGTACTGCTCCCAGGAGAAAACCATTTGAAGTTCCTAGAGTTACCGCCAATAATTCTGATTGGAAGCGTAAAGTGGATTCTCCTGTTGTTGAGGATGCAATAGACCATTTCACTAGACGTATTGTATTGGAGTGGGTAACTGATCTGTGGTACTCCCGCATAACTCCTGATAGACAAGGACCGGAAGAGCTTGTGCAGATCATGAATGGTATACTCGGGGAATTTTCACATCGCATGAGAGATATTAATCTAATCAATCTTCTAACAAGGTTTATTTTTTGGGGATGTTACGGAAATTATTTTCTTTATTGAGATTATCCTTGAAATTTCATGTATAGGATGCCAACTTTCTTGGTATGTCGCAGGGATATCATTGATCTTCTATGCACTCAGTTGGAGCTTTTTCGTGCAAGCAAGGCAAAGATTGAGAAGCACCAATCGAGATCTCTGACCATTGAAGAGAGAGAGATGGAACTAAAATCTGTTCTGTCTGTGGAAAACAAACTGCATCCTGCTTTATTTTCTGCCGATGCTGAGCACAAGGTCGGCCCTTTTGCTTTTCTCTTCCTTGCAGTTTATAAATGATAGGTAGTCTGGCCGATGACACAAGAAATTTTCTGGTTTCTGTGTTGCTAATTTTTTGCAGGTTCTCCAGCATATTATGGATGGTTTCATTTCATTTACATTTAAGCCAGAGGATCTGCAATGCTCCTTATTTCTCTATATCGTCAAGGAACTTCTTGCTTGTGCAGTACTGCGACCGGTGATAAATTTATCTAGCCCAAGGTAATTATATATTTTTTTCTTCTCCGAAAAAGTGCATCCTTTCTATTCTTTATATTTTATGAAATTTGGTGTCAGGTTTATCAATGAGAGAATTGAATCTCTAGTTATTTCTTTAAGTAAGACCGACAGAGGAAGTAAGGCAACACAAGTGGATTTGCACTCCAGGCCAAATGTATCTCCTAAGTTATCATCTGATCATTTTTCTCGGGTTCTAGATCCTTCCATGAAAGGTGTTGAACTCGTACAGTTAAAGAAGGATCAATCCAGGAATGAGGCTGAGAATCCTGCATCAGGCAACATGAAGGAAATACTTCTTTCTGAAGATCCATTTTTTTCCATTGGTACACACTCCACCCATTCTTGGAGTTCTTTGCCATCAGGAAACAATTATGCCGATGGAAGAGATATTCAGCGACACCTGTCCGGAGGAGAATGGGTTGATATGCTAGACGTGTTTTCTCGCAGAAAAACTGAGGCCCTGGCACCAGAACATTTTGACAATATGTGGACGAAAGGAAGAAATTACAAAAGGAATGAAGGTGCAAATCAGATGGCTGACCCTGTGAAGGAAGCCTCTACGGTGGGTGTATCTATCTTGGTCGAGCAGTCAAAAGAGCTTTCTGGGCGAAAGAATAAGGTTATAGAAACCAAAGGTAGTTCCTTTGAGAGTGATGTTTTTAATTCTGGATGTAGTAATTGCCCTGGGGCCAACAATATTGTCACACATGATGATTTTAAAAAACAAAGTCGTACAGCAATTCCTTTAAATGAAGACAAAGATGAACTTAGTGTCTTGCATTCTGATGAGGTCAAATCAGAGAGCAGTTGTTATACTACTGAAGATGAAGATACTAGCAGTGTAACAGGTATTGATTCTGCTGGTAGTATAGTTTGGGATGCTAAAAACAAGAGAAGCGTCAGTAGCATTCATCATCCTCTTGAAAGTTTTGAAGGCCATAAGAGTAGAAAGGCGAGCAAAGGGCATCTCCATTCGAGAAGATTGCTTAAAACCCTGTCTAAGAGGAAAAGGTCTAGATTAAGTAGTCATAATGAGCACTTGTGGCAAGAGGTCGAAAGAACAAGTTTCTTATTGGGAGACAGGCAGGATATACTGTATTCTTCCAGAGAAAATATCGAACATGAAGACTCAAGTGATGAATTTGAGGCTGAACGTTTAAGTAGAGTTTATAGTGGAGCTACTACTTCGTCATCGGTTTCCTTGGCCGCCTTGCCTGGAAGTCATTGCTGGCCTGCTAATTCTGCAAAAAACTCAATTGTTGCTGATTCTTTTTTCAAGTTACGATGTGAGGTATTCAATTCACGCCTACCATTTTCAGTTGCACCAGGCTGGAATGTGTGTTTTATGCTGGATGTGAGTCGATTTCTTGTTGCAGGTATTGGGTGCCAATATTGTGAAGAGTGGGTCCAAGACATTTTCTGTTTATTCCATATCTGTTACTGATGTAAATAGTAACAGTTGGTCCATCAAAAGAAGGTGCTAAGATATGCTGTGAACTTTCTGTTTTATCTTCTGCTCGTGCTATAATGCTCCTTCTATATGTTTTAGAATTTTTATTTATAATCAATATTTCACCTTAATGTGGCATGTTGTAGCATGATTATAAATTCATCTGGAATTTATTGTTTGTGATTACAGATTTCGACATTTTGAGGAGTTGCATCGGCGTCTTAAAGAGTTTCCTGAATATAATCTCCATTTGCCACCTAAGCATTTCCTATCAAGCGGTCTAGAAGTTTTTGTAATTCAAGAGCGGTGTAAATTGCTTGACCAGAATTTGAAGGTCTGGAAATTCTTTCTCCTGTCCCTTTGAAATTTTCCATTTTTCCTTTTACATTTCCGTCTTTCCTGACATTTATTCAGAATAAGTTAAATTTGATGCTAGCTGTAGGACGAAGAAACCAAAAACAATTGTATGCTCTATTCTATTACTCCCACTGTATTGCCAATGAATCCTTAATTTTTGGTTGTTGCTTAATGATATATAGGCTTTTCCTGTTACTTAGTGAATTAATATGATTCTAGTTATGTTTCACAGGACCAATAGCTTAGGTATATTGACATTTATTTCGTATTTATATGAGAGAGGGCACCGGCACAGCTTAACTAATTGAAATCTGATCCATTTTTCGTACTTCGATATGCAGACTCATGTACACACGAGCATATGTAGACATACGGATGCACATATTCACATAGACATGCAACGGTGCATGTTTCTTCTTGAGCCAATAGTTTTTAATTTGATTTTCTGATGTTGCCGTTATGCAGAAGCTTCTGCGGCTTCCAACTGTTTCCTCTTCCATTGAAGTTTGGGACTTCCTTAGTGTAGACTCCCAGGTTTGACTTATTTTAGTTTCATTTTATTTGATATAAATTTCTCGAAGTATTGTACTTGAATTTCTGACCACTATACGAACTAATGCAGACATATGTTTTCTCAAATTCATTATCTATTCTTCAGACTTTATCAGGTGAGTCATATTCCAAACGAGCAGGTTTCCACTAAACATTGATAAAATATACCTTTTTTATCATTTCAAACTGGATTTGAATTTCAGTTGACCATGATACAATACATGAAAGGAGTAGGGAGTGTCGGGATAAAGAAGGGACTACAACTGATTTGTTATCCAATCAAAGAGAAAAATTCAGCCATGGAAAGGAGTCTGCATTACGGATGAAAGGTGAACATGTTGCTGATGCATCCAAATTGAACAAAGGAAGTCTAGTTATTTCCCCAGGGGAAATGCCATGCAAAGGATGTGGAATGGCTCTTGAGGTTTCCAGTGATTCTGACAATCCAGAGCAAGAAAACATACACTTGGCCAGAAACTTGGGGAAGACTTTGAAAACAGATGTGAATGGTTTGCGCGCATCTGAGTTTATTAATGCTGCCACTGATCCAACCCTTCCTAGTGAGGTAATATGTGATCATTTGCTGTCTTTGCTCTGTATATTTTCTTCAATGTATTCAAGAATTGGAAATAAAGCCTTTTATTAGTCTTGCGAATATGTAATGCTCAATACAATTTTTTCAATGCAGTATCCCAGCCAGGATTGAGTGTTGAAGTGGTTGGTTGGGTGATTAATTTTGTTTATGATCTATAGTTCTCTTTCTTTTGCCATGCAGTGGGCGCCACCAAATCTAAGTGTTCCCATATTCGATTTGGTTGATGTCATTTTTCAGCTTCAAGATGGTGGATGGATCAGGTATCAGATGTGTACTAACTGAAAGATGTTCAGATGCGCTTTGCATATATAAACTTTCACTCAAATTGTTTCTTATCAGCCCGTGCTTTCTTGCCTCTTATAAACTTTAATTGGGTTGCAGGAGAAAGGCTTTTTGGGTGGTCAAACAAATTTTACAATTAGGAATGGGCGATGCATTTGATGATTGGCTGATTGAGAAAATCCAGATTCTGCGCCGGGGATCAGTAGTTGCTTTAGGGATCAGGCGTTTGGAGCAGGTATATCTTTGACATCCTGCTGTCTGAAAAAACATTCCTTTTGACATGATTTTATGCATATAATACCTTATTTTATTTTTCCTATTTCAATCTCAATAATGCCGCTTCCAGCATTTTTGGCACCCGCAACACTCTTCAGTTGTCATTAGCATTTCACTACATTCAGATTTCTGATCTCGTTTCAGGGTTAAAAGCTGAGAACCACCTTATGGTATTCAAAATGTTACCCCATGTCTATGCCTGAACTCAATTCCTTGTCTTTTAAAGTTCTACTATTATATTCCCTCCCATTAAGTTGCAATGGAGCGTCAAGTACGCGGTGAAAATGGCTGATTGGCACAATCAATTTTGAAAGAAAGAAGTGCCTGCATTTACTTGAGGCTATATTTGACAAATTTGTTTTACCCAACTACAATTCATTATTTTACCTCTTTCTTTGTCACCCAATGACCACCATAACCTACTGCCAGCTCATCACAACCACCACCATTCTACTCCGTCATGAACACCCTTCAACACCAATGGACTCCACAAAGACTTTTAAATGAACTTATTCAATTCAGTGAGAGCTATGGCAATTTATGAACCTAACAATGTGAATTGTTTGTAAATGTAGAAGGATTACCGATGCATAGAGTCGCTCTATGAATGCTTTCAAGGGAAATGTGATATCTCATTTTAGTAATCTGATTCTTGTTGATGTATAGATACTTTGGCCTGATGGAATTTTCTTAACAAAGCACCCGAAGAGACAGCAACCCACTTGTGCAAGCCCATCTGATAATTCTCCTCGGGTCCAGTGTTCCACTCCGTTTTCTTCACCTGAAACAGATGATATCCATGAACTAGAGGAGATGCAGCAAAAGGAAGCTGAACGGCGAGCAAAATTAGTATATGAACTCATGATCAGTAAATCTTAATTGTCTGCCTTTCCATTGCATTGTCACGTTGTTTTAATTGGATCTCTCTCTCTCTCTCTCTTTTACCGGAGATGTTAATTGACTTCAAAATCTCTTGCAGACAAGGCACCAGCTGCTATTGTAGGTCTTGTTGGTTGCAGGGAATATGAAAAATGTGCAAAAGATCTCTATTGTTTTATTCAGGTAATCTATGTTTATTGCAATTGTTGTGAATTGCTCAATCTTCCATGAGATAAAATCAAGTGGTTGATGTGTATTCCTAAAGTTGCATACTATTTTTCCTCTGTCCATCCTTTGAAGAACGGCGTCTTTAGGAAACATGTCAACTTCATTCTGCTTCAAATGCATTCTCTCAAGGCCTAGGGTTTGGCTTTTCTCAATGCACAGATATTTAAAGTTAGCTCTAAGTCTGGTGAAACCTACATACAAGACAGAGAAAGTATGAGGATACAATAGAAATATGCAATTTCTGCTTTCCACATTTTCTTAGAAGATTTGAATGTATGCATGTGTGTAACCTTTTTGTTTGACAGATTAGAGAGAACCACGTCCTGCACTTAATGAGTGTTTGGGAAAATACATGCTTTCTTTCACCTCTCCTTTAATCTTTAGTCGTTTATTGCTTATGAGGGTGGAAAGACTAAGATCCTTCTCATGGTTGGACTCAGATCTATGAGCTTCGATGTATTTCATGGTTCTTATTTTATTTCAACGCCTAAACCTCCATGACTTTTCCCTTGCACTGTGCAACTTTTTCATCTTTAGCAAATAGCATATGTTAATATTGGTATCATTCTTTTGGAACCATTACTCATGGATTGCTGTTTTGCCCTTCTGCTTTGTACAGTCATCCGTTTGTATGAAGCAACTAGCGTTTTATCTTCTTGAGTTGCTGCTCTTATCCGCATTTCCAGAGCTTGATAGTGCCTTCAAACAGTTGCACGAGGACAAGGAGAAATTTGGAAAACTCGAATTGAGTTCACAAAGTTGAAATTTTGGCAGTGATTTTTCTCATCTCATTCTTAAAGTTATTTAAGATGTGTCAAATGATCATTGGTCAACAAAGATTTTTCTTTTTTTCTCTAGTATGATAGCTTGCCATAAAGAGATTGAGAATACTAAAAAATACTTGAGGGATCATGTTCATTGTCTTGAATTATCTGTTGTACATACATTGATGTTGATATTTTCACGAGGAATCCCTCCCTTACACAGCATATAGTAAACTTTTACGCAAACGCCATCTCCTCTCTTCGAATAATCAAAAGCAACATAAGCTACCGGTCATGGTGGGGATCCCGATCGTGAATGTGGTGTGAAAGTTGCTTTGGAGTCCGAGGCATATAAATGCCAGTGACATGTAAAACGACCAACCAACGATGAAATGGAGATGAAGTGGGCTCAGATACTTGAACAAGCATCATTTGCGATTCTGGATTCAAATTGTAGAGGAAAACAAGGTCTACGCATTTGCATGAATGAAAACCGAACTTAAGAGCAGCAATAATCTCACAGAAAATGACGCTGCCCCAAGATCCAAAATCACAATGAGCCCATTTAATTATGAATCTCGGACAATCAAAAGTTATAGCATGGAAAAAATTCTAAAACTTTGCTCAACCAAAGTATTCCCGAAAGGCCAGGATGCATTCGTACAAGAATGTGATGTTTAGAAATCAGGAGTCAGACAAATCTTCACAACATCAAGCGATGCCACATGAGAGCCAAGCTCACAAATGCCATGAAAACACCTCTACCAAAAATATATTATATTCATAAATTTACAAATGTTAAGTGTAAGAAAGCCCCTAACATAGAATAGTTAAAAAAAGTTATTCGCTCTGTCATGTGATATCAGGTTTCATACACATTAACAGCGATATACAAGTTCCATAAAAGCATTAAACTTTTGCCAAATATTTAAGATGAAGTAGATAATACGGAGAGAGAATAAATGAACATACTATCCCACAAATATTTATTGAATAACACTAAAATTTTCAGAAATTCATAACAGAAGAAATTAGCAATTCTAACAATGCCAAGGATGAGCATTAAAATTAATAGATAAATGGCATCTGATTGTCCATACTACTGAGAAGATTAAGGCACAAAACGGAAAATGTAAATTCAATTTCATCATGAAATGCGGACAAGTGAAGTTTCCAAATTCAGTTTGCTCTCTATTACTTCAAAGAGGAGCTAAGAAAAGTAAAATCCAAAGAACCCATCAAAATTAAGCAGAAGCTGCTGCTGCCTTCTTCCTTGGTGCCGCTTGAGTACCTAACCCCACATCAAAATTAACAACCAATAAACAAACAAACAAGAACCCAGAAACCTTTGCTTGCAAAAAAGCTCAAAAAGTGGTTGCATATATACATCGATATGTATGAATCTATACCTTCTCTGAAGTTGGTCTTGAATCTGCGCGGCACATGGCGTAGGTACCTCATGCGCCCCGTTCCAGTAGTCTTTCTCCGGATAGCCTTCACGCTCCAGTTATCTATTATGCCATTCAATTATAACACCAATCAAGCACAAAATCAAACACATTTGTACATATAAAAACAAGTGAAAGAATGAGGACTTACATGTCCTCTTGCGGGCAGCAGGGTATGCACAGGCGGAGCAGCGGCTCTTTTGGAGGTGGAAGCTGCGGCGGCCACACCTCACACACAATGTGTGTGTCTTGTTCCTCCTCTTACCAAAGCTCCCTGTTCCCTTCCCCTATTATCATCCAAGTAAAGGGAAATTCACGAAGACACACACAGATCAAAACAATTGCTCATACACATACAAATACAGTTGAGAGATCAAAAACATAAGGATTTTTACCATTGTTGTGCAGTTGCAGAAACCCTAGATTTTCCTTCAGCTCTAGCCTCAGAATGGATGCGCCGTTTCGAGCCATTTATATGGAAAAATCAAGGAAATTAACAGATCATTTTGGGCTTTAGGGTTGGGCCTCTTTTTGGGCAAAAATATTGGGTTTCAAGGGCTTGGATAGCTGTTGGGCCCCTTCTGATTTCTCAGTGAGACCCATCCGATTTGTATATTTCTTTCAGATAAATTGACAAAAGTAGCACCAATTGGTACTGTTTGCATTTAGGTGAGTGGGAAACTTTGCAATAACGGTTCCAAACTATACCCCTTGGAGTTATGCAACATAAATAGGCTCAATGACAGGTTAAAAAATAATACGGACACATGTCAACATGCAATTGGATAGTCTAGGAAAAAAATAACTGTCACGCAGTACCGTCACCCCACTTTGTCAATAACCCATGTTCAAGAAGCATTATTCATACCCCTTGAAGCACCCCCAATTTCAAATATTTTTCTTTATGAATATATCCAAACATTCACTTTTGGTGCATAAAATGTCATTTTTGTCACTTATACGTATTAATTAATGTCAATGGTATTTTTGTCCATCAATTCCACAAATTTTTTTATTGTTCCACCAATTCCTAGTCATCTTTTCCATTATCACTTGTTAAAAAAAAAAACAAACTCTACCTTGCATAAAGCTTCTTAGTACGATTGGAATGTAAGAAACTCGTTTGATATATCTTCGTATGTAAATAATTCTCGATGTGAAAATACGATGCTAGGGAGCCTATCTTTGAATAGGCAAAAGGAACGGATATGTTGAGTTCAAATTATTGACTTCTCGAGAAACGTTGTATTCTTTGAAAAAATTATCTCATTCATGTTGCATGGTTTCACTCTACTAGAGTCCAACGAAATATTTCATTGAAATAATGAATTATCATAAATGTCAACAAGTCTGTACTCACCAAATATTTGAGAGTTCTTCTATTTCAATCAATTTCGTTCTTTTTGTTATTGGATATCTCGTTCCTATATGTTTATATTAGCGTAATTGTAGGCCCTATTGGTCAAAAAGAAGCTAAAAAAATTAGGGATCTTGATCACATGCATCATCTAGTGAACTTACACTAACCCACAGAACCTTTAACTTTTTTCTTAAAAAAGACAGCACTTTAAAGAGCAGGAATTCTTCTATTAATCATTGGATTCCATTGTGTTAGTGTTTAAATAATTTGTTTCGTTTCATTTCTTGAATGGAATTCACATTGTATCAAGTTAAGGAGCCTTTGCTGGTTGTTGGACAAACATTATTTTCAACTTTAACTAGTGATTTGATGGGTTTACTAATCAAATTGCATTTGTCCCTAATACTTGTCTTTACGAGTTGGCCCGCGCAAGTTACTTTTATTTTATCTTTTAAAAGTAAAGCCGATCACACAAGACCAAGCATACAGAACTCATTTTTACATCAACCGCCAAGTTTTCAAAATTTTCATAAAAGGATGATGACAAGATTTGAACGATTAGATTCAAGTCTTTTACGTTCTCTAATACCATATTAAACTATTTCACGTAAAAGTTTAACTATAGAACTCACGCGCTTATTTAAAATTTATGCTTCAACGAGACTTCGCATTTTCTGAACATGCTGGGTCTACGACGGGGCCATGCAGGGCAGCCTAAAACACGAACCCGACCGGGGGCTAGACCGTTCTACATCTTCAAAAACCAAAAGAGCATTGTCTATATAAAACCCCTTCTCATCACATTTTGTCCCAGAGTAACCAAAAGAAACTTGAAAGTTTTCTCCTTCTTGCTTGAACAGATCTTGCAGTACAAAACTAAACCCAAAAATGCTGCTCAAAGAATCCATCCACAAGACCAAACATTACATTCATAGAACTTTCCGAAACCTCAAATCGTCACTCTTAGGAGAGTACCAAAAACTACCTAAAACTCCTCATGTCAACCCTCTCTTCTATCCCAGAATGCAGGAATTGGATAATTTCTACACAGATTTTTCCCAACACTGGGATTCTGATCATAATAAGGTGCTAAAGAAAAAGAAAAAGGGTCAATTTTCGGCGAAAGAAAAAAGAGAGAGAGATGAAAAATCATCATGCGATGGAAGGTCCATGAATGGTGCAAGAAAGGAAGAGATGAAGAAAGGTTAGTATTGTGATGGCTTTTGAGATTTAGACATATTGTTTGCTCATTGAGTTCATGGAGCTCTGATAACATATTATAAGATTTGAAATTTCATCTTTAAATGTCATTCTTGTTAAGATTAGTCGAAACCGTTATATTATCCTTAGGAACTAAGCTCTTGTTTATTGTATTGTCTAGATGAATCTAGTATTGTGTGCCAGACGTGCATGGAAGGGAAACAAGTGGAGTCCAGTTCAAAGATTGCAAATGGTTTAGCACAGAAGATGAAAGAATTGGAAATGTTTGATATGAATGATTTGGACCATGTGATGGATATGGAAGAGGTGATGCATTACTATTCTAGGCTTACATGTCCACTTTACCTTGACATTGTTGACAAAATTTTCATGGACGTGTATAGGGAGTTGTATCCTCCACAACCCTTGGTCGACCATTAAATTTGATCAATACGTTGAAGATGAGCTTTGAATAAATAGATTTACATGTATCTAAGGGTCTAAGCTTTTAGACGAAGTTATTATATAGAATTGGATATTTTTGTTTTCATTCTCTCTTCTTCCTCTATGTAGTCGTGTATTTGTGTACTCACAATTTTTCAATTTCAATGTGTGTTCAATTTTGCTTATTCCAATGGCATATACCCAAGAGATTCAAGTTAAATTTATCAAAAATAAATTAAAATAAAAATCAATGGTAGGTCATGTATGGTAAAGTGAATTGAAGAGTCCTAGACTATTAAATAAGAAAATAAAATATATTTCATTCATAGTACTAACCAATGCCGTCTCATACCATGTACTAAACATGCACTGTGGCCATGAAAAATGAGGTCGTGAAATATCAGTAGGCAAAAACTTCTTATCATGAAATTACAAAGATGCATATCTTTACAGTAGCATCAGATTGTGACTTCCTAAAATTCAGTAAAAAAAGAAGAAAAATATAATCAAATGATGATTATCAATAGGGGAATCAGTCGAAACAATGACCGATCATCGTTTGTAGAGCTGAACATGCTCGAGTAAAACCACAAAGTTACAGCATCAACTTTTCCGTGACCAATATCCATCACAAACTGTTTTACATGTGCATTATCGTATCAAACTTCTCAATAACCAGACGACACTAAAACATTGTGCTCCTTCAAGCGCTGTTGAAAACGAGCCAAACGATTCTGTAACTGTAAGATACCAGCTGCTTTCTGAGATAGGATTGTATTCAATTTCGAGATGTAATCATCCAACTGATTTCCTGGTTGATCTGCCTTGACCAATAGATTCATCTCCTGCAAAAAGCACATACCGACCCGCATAAACTTCTGGAAAATGAATACATATCCAGAAACTGAGACGTGCAAATATGATCATCAATCAACAAGAGTGTGTAGCAGATATTGTACCGATACCCACTTTCAATACATTAAAATTTGAGGAACAATGGCAAATAATAGAGACGGCTACCTTTTACATTATATGTTGCTACATATGGTACAATAAAATCAGAATAGTGCTGACCTCTCTGACGATATCCATTGTTTCCTCTACTTGTCTCCTGTGAGCATTCACGAGATCTTCTTCTTCCTAAAAAATCCACAGGAACTCGCATATATTAATATTAGTACCTAGATGGGATCCATAACTTCTATAGTTCCCAAAGCAACATCTTACTATTATTTACCATCAAAAGAGCATTCAGATTATCTTCTGAATTTTTAATATCCAACTCAGGTTGCTCTTTCCACTTGGTCTGGCCATTGGTTCTCCTCGTCTTATCTTCCGAGTTAGAGAAATTGTATGCCTCGACTTTTGAGTTCTTCCTTGATGGCTTCTCTTGCTCATAGGAGTCTTCATCATAATATTCATTATCAGTTTGTTCAGGCCATGAACCGCCCGTATTGTCTTCAAATGTCTCGGTAGGTGGTAAAGCAGAAGACAAGGGTTGTGTTGTCGACTCCTTCAGATTTGATATTGAAGAAAACACATCTTTCTTGGAGCTGTTCCCTTTAGATAGGCTCTTGACCCTAAAATGATGGGAAAGAGTAACAGACATGATAAAGGCCATATAACAAAGGAGCCTTTTGTGGACAGAACTTTTTTGATATGAAAATATCACATTTACCTGTCGGCATATCGCAGTGTGTTTAAAGTGTGTTCACAGGATCCTGAGTTAGGTGAAATGCATGATATCATTACAGTACGAGAATTTCCAACAAACGAATCCCTCAGAACTTCAGTTAATTTACTGCCCCTAAATGGAATGTGGCCTTGATCATTGTCAAGTGCTCTAATACACTCCTTCAGTGCGAGCAAACTTTTATTGATCTCGGCTCCTTCCATTCTGCACAATAACAAAATCCAATTTGTTGGTATCACGCAGAGCTAGAAAAATAAACAGATGAACACAGTCAACAGAAAATACAGCGTGCAAGCCAAAAGGCTGTTGACAGCATGCATCAGATACAAAATGTACATGCATTTTTGTTTTTGCAAGATTTCTATTTAAACAGATGACAAAGAGTTTCCCCTACAATGAAGGGAACAAAGATGATTGATATATACCTTGTTTGTTTATCGTTATCAGTAGTGTCTGCACCGCGTTCACTTCCAGCAAGGTCTATGAAAGAGAGCTTGCCAACAACTCGAGGGGGTTTGGATTCGCTACCATCAACTGACCTCTTAATCGTAAGCTGAAGAATAGCATGTGATCGAGATGACTCCTCATTTGCACCAGTGGTGCCCGTACTTCTAGTTGCATTACCTTTCTCAATGAGATCCTTAATTGTCTCCACATCTGATACTTTGTACTCTTGCAAGCCCACAATACAAACTTGCTGTTTTCCGTCCTCTCTCATGCAAAGTTTCCTGCAGAAAAATTCTAAATCTCATGAAATTTCCAATACAATATAGCAGTTTCTAACAGATACATAGAGAAACCTAGTGCAACCGCTTACTTCCTATCACTGAGTAGATCAAAGAGTTTTCCTCCGTATATCTCAAAGAAGCTGGCGAACAAACAAAAGCCTTGGTTCCTGTAAGTATGGTGCATAAGCTGGAAGATATCCCTAGATGCTTTAAGGGGCAGTGGTTTCATAGTATAAGTTTTGCCACTTCCTGAACAAATTTCCAGGATGCAAGAGGAGGAAAAGAAAATATAAAGGTAAGCGAAATCTCACTGGATTATGGATAAATAAATGAGTAAACAATGAGATGTGTGATCTCAAAAGGCACATATAACTCAAATTCACCCTCTCGGGTTAAGCCATTACCTGTTTGCCCATAAGCAAAGCAAGTTGCTTTGGTGCGTTGGAAAATTATTGGAACAATGGGCTCCACAGTTTCACGATACACCTAGACGAATAGAATGTGGACAACAATTAACGAGGGTCTAAGACCAGCATGAGCACTTTATATAGTAACCGAAATTTCAGATCAAGTTAATGCATATTTAGTTTTCAGGCATATATGAGAAATTGAATCTTTCTTAGAAGATGTGAAACTTGATTCAAAATACAAGTTGAAACAGGATAATTTACTCTGCTATGGCTACATCATCACCAAATACAGAAGCTCTATGGTATGCACTACTATTTCCAGCTGAACATATAGACGCTTGGTTCATATTTTCGGAAATAAAATGAATATAAAAAAATAGAAAAGAACTTAGCAAGGCGTAAAAATAGTTACCGAATGTGTTATCTGGACAGCTGTAAAAGAACTTAGCAAGGCGTCCAGCAGTGACTGCAATAGGCGGTCAGAGACAGACAGTAGGAGCTGGAAGATAGACCAGCATAGAATCTGCAATTATGGCCATCACCTGAGAAGAACACAAACTTAAAATATAAAGATAAAAATTAAATGTAATTATATATGCAAATGATTTGGCTGCTTTGGACCCCAAAACAGAAATTTGGCTGCAAGTGGATTTTTATTATGTCGGGCTAGATTTTTCGGGCACATTGTGTATACCTCTTGCATAAATTCTCTTTTTATTTTTAACAAAATTTTGACTTAAAGACAAACAAAAATATTTAAACTGAACAATTGAATTATCTAAACCATCAATCGACATGCAAATTGACAACAGACATCAATCGAGGATACACCCAAAGAAATTGCCATTGGAACTGAGCTCGGATTTGTGGAAATGGGATCTTGAAGTTTATAAACATAAAGAATTATAGAGTTTAGACTTTTTCTCGAAGAAAAAGATTCATTCATGAATCATCAACGATTGTCAAAAACCATCATGCTGTACCTAGGCAAAACTTGCATCACAATAATTGATCACTTCTATGTATAGCCTCCAAAACATCCAGAATAGCCTTATCAAAATAAAGACTCCCATAAGCTTTCATTTCATTTTTCCAAAATCTGTAACTGACTAATCCAATAGCTCATATTTTCAGACACCGATTATGAACTTCGAAGCTTTTGTACGGGCAAGCCATTGCAAACATCAACTCAATTGGCAATCTTGAATGATTTACAGGCAAAAGATGTATTTAACTGTGTTAAAATGGATTAACTTCATTAAATAGCAGCCTTTACCGACTATAAACTATCAAATTATGCCACACACATTCTTCTCTTCATATTTTATCACATCTGTAAACAATTCATTTAGATTAATGTATCACAAACCTTTGATCTAGACTTTTTTTAACCTCCAGACTAAATGAGTAGTACAATTTTCTTAGCAACTTTTAATATTTGTAGGCCCAGAAAATGTAGGGCATAAAAGCTTGCATTATTTGGAATGTGTTCCACATATACATATCAAATATTTCTACTGGTCAATAATGAATTAAATGACCCTACTTGTGTTCGAAAATATCACTATATAACTCAAGACACCAAATCCCGGTGCGGCATTTTATCAAACAACTGCAGTGCATTTCAAAAACACCTATGTTCAAAAATAACCATCTAGATTCATAACGCATTTGAACAGCCACACGGTGAAACCATTTATGCAAATCTTTTGCCACTTTCAAGCAACATAACCATCCCATAATTCCCATTCAATATTGAAAACATATAACTACAATGTGAAACACCCTTTTCTTTCATAATTTATACGTGCTCTGATGCTTGAATTCCAAACAAAAGCATTGGGTTCATACCAGCACTTGGGGGGATTGAAACAAATAGCAGCGACCACCACCAATAAAAGTTGGTCTCCACAAAAATCTCTAATAACGGGACATGGACATAACTTATAAGGGCGCTATAAAACTTTCACCAAGACACAGTCCATACTGTTTAACAGAATCAGAACAATTATAAATAAGGAGAAAAGCAAATCCTTCTGCTGAAATAAATATGCAAGATAACCCGAATTTGCAGACCTTAAGTTTTGTCTCATGAACAACGAGAGAATTAGAATGCGTTTCTATGATGTCTTCCTCATTCTTTGTCACTTCTTTCTTATTTAGTGGTCTTTTGCGCACCTGCAACCAAAAGGAATAAACGAATCACATAATGATAGAAACGTCATAACCTGAAATAGTCTAATGCACTAAAGAAAAGGAAAGGGCTTTTCACGTGCTGCAGAGATTGTAATTCCAGTTAAATTCGTCAAAGATAATCACATTACCAACTAAGCGTGATTACATAGCAGTCACAATGTAGTTGATTCAGTAAAGTACAAAGATAAACCTAAATTTAAATTTTTGTCTAACAGCGACACTATTGAACTTTGAATGACTGGACAGAATCAAACAGACATACCACCACTTTGATCTTTGCAACATTGCTGGCTTTCACATTATCAGCAGCAAGGCTTTTGGACGCATTGTTCTCCAGTGTCACAGAAGCTCTACTGGCATGTTTGCTGTTTCCGAGGTAAGGCTCAGAGTCATCAAAACTTTTCCCCTGAGCAAAGTAATGCATAGAAGGGGCATCATAAAGATCAGGAACTGTCATTTGTTCTCGTCAACCGTCCACCAAAATAAATCAAAAGGGCAGGGGCAGAGAAAAAGTAGAAATGAGTTTACTTACAATTCTAGTTAAACAAACTCATATATCAAAAGAATGAAATGAGTTGAAGAAAATAAGTAAACGACATATTAATAATGTACTCAATAGTGCGTTGATTTGATGAGGTTATTTCGTGATTCAAACACCAGTAGCATGGAGTTAATTAAGATTGATTTGTAGGTACAAGGAAACTGATAATTACATGCAATATAACACTTTTAGACTTGTATATAAATCCAACTCATTAATCCTCGGAAGGTATGTTGCCTTCTCCTACATTTCGGTCTCATTATTATTATCTACAGGCTAATCAATTTTTTTAATAAAAATTTAAATGCATGTATCAATTTTCCACCATAAACCAGACAACACAAACTTGCCCTCCTCAAACAAAAGAAATAAAGAAAACAAGACGGCACGAGAAGTTAAATGAATTACATTACATGGATTATTGAAAGAATAAACCGCGCAGCACTGCCACCACATTCGATGATAGATAAATGAGCTAACAAGACAGTTTGAACATAATTTTACTTTTAAGAACTGAAAATCACCTCAGGGAGAAGCTCGGTATCAAAAGAATGCAAATCCAATAGTCCAGGGCTATACTCATTCGGGGAAACTTGCTCCTCCACATTCATTCTCCGGCCAGCAGGCCATGAATCCCCAGTTGGTGTCAATGGATCCCCAAACAAATCACTTCCTCCACTATAATTCCTCTGTGCTTGCACACTCCTGTACATTCTTGAACCCTGACCCCCGCCATTAAAATCCTATTTACAAAAGCATAAATTGAGGGTTTTTACTGTAGTATCGGATCTAACTAGTAAATACAAAACGCGGTAATGTACCTGAAGAGGAGGAACTGCATTGTTTGACTGTAGGTGTTGGAGACCAGCTGATTGTAGCCACCGTCCATTCGATGAAGTGTCTATCAAGTTGTCCGAGTACTGCCGCTGGTGGTTTGCCGTCGATGCACCGGATCTCTGCCTCCCCACGGCGTTCATTTTCCGGTCTCTCTCTCTTTAAAACGTCCGATCAAACTTCAAAACAACTCCTTTCTCTCTAATCTGCGCGTCTGAAATGAGAGATTTTGCAGATGGAGATATGAAGAAGCTTTGAAATTCAACGGTTGCGATTCATTAAGTAGTGAGATTGCAGGTGAAAATAAAAAGGATGTGACTACATTTGCAATTAAGTTAAAGGTTAGTAACTCAATTGTACTAAATTAAAGTTCAGTGACCCAATTCAAGTTTACTAATAGTTCAGTGACCCGCAATACCTTTGTTGATATTGGTCATCGAACTTTGATTTTTTAAGAATTGTCATTGTACTTTTTTTTTTCGAGTCTCTTACCACTTCATTGGTCAACACAAACACTCTGATGCGATGGACAATTTTTTCCATATGGACCACTAATGTCATTAAAATTCCATCGAGACTGAATCAATGTTTCGTAAATTTCTCGATCTTTCTCAATTATCGAATAGAAATCTTCGCTTCTTTGAATTTTTTTCTCTTGAAATTAAATTCTAAGAACCCCAAATGGGACCTTTCCCACTTCCCTCACAACTTCCCTTTTCTTTTTATTGATTGACGGAATGTTTAATTTTTATAAAACCTCGAATACGGAGGCTCAAATGAAAAGAAATAAGGATAACATTTTAATATTTTCAACAAGTTTTGCAAGCTAGCATTTTAACGATGTTGAGGTTACATAGTTAAACCTGTCCGCCACGTTGGAACTCTTTGATTGGTCGCGGTTATTGATGGAATGTGAGATTGAAACAAATGTCATACAATAAATTAGTTTAGTGTCAGATATAAAATAAGTCTATAAGTTGGGTGACCGTTAAGTGAATTTTTTTCATAAAATTGAAGAAGAGAACACACAAGGGATGATTTGATTCAACGGAAGAAACTGGAGCTAGTGGAATTTGAATTTCGAAGATGTCGAGTGGCACGTGTGTGAAGGACAGACACGTGAAAGAATCCATTGGTCCAAAAAAGTAGGTGATTGGGACCAGCTTTATTTTTTCGAATGAGGGGAGCATCCACTTGACATGCTGAGCTACGTTGCTTTATGAGGTGTATTTCTTGAATTTGTTTTTTTTATATATTTTGGGTGGTTTGGAGGGACATTATTCAGCTGTTTATGTTAGTAAAATGATTGGTTTGACTAATTCTGGACCGACTTTTGACTTTTTATTTTATTTTTTAATTGTTTGTCGGTAGTATTTGGAAAGTGCCAATCCCAAATGCCATAGAGCTGGGTCGAGATAAATTATTTGGATGGTAGCAAGTGATAGTACTTAATAACTAAATTTAAAATTTTATTTCAACGATTACTGAACATCGTATTATCCATCCATCCCTCAAGTTGACGTTGTTTTTTAAATTTAATGAATTTTTCCACTAGAGTAATTAATGAGTAACATGGTGCATAGTTCGATGATCATTATGATGCAATTTTATGTTCAATTATTAAGTAGTAACAATTTTTTTTTTCTTATATCGACCTCTATGAAAGAAGAAACCAAAAGAAGATGAATGTAAAAGTGGAAATTGAAAATCAAAGATCTATAAATCGAAAAAAAAAATACTCGTGCTGATGTTCATTATGAAATAGATGGATGATATTAGTCTTCAACTGAAAGATTTGCTGCCTAAATAAAGGATATACAATACTAGATTGACTCTTAATGATTGTGGAGTCATGAAATTCCCGATTAACATATTCCCTTCATCTGCAACTACTGCTTCATTCACTCGAATTACCATATTGTTCCGTTCATTGGACATTTCTTGTTGCCATTTTTTATCTTTTTACTGTCATGTTTCTTATTGTCTACGATGAAAAGTACGTTTGATTTCTCGATCAACTAATATGAGTTCACCATATTTCAGACTTTTCATAAAAAGTCCGAAAGAGAGGCATATGAAAAACGAAATAAATGGACATAAAAAAATTTAAATAAAAGTACAAAAAAAATGTTCAAATTAAAGCCAAGGTAACCAGAAATAAACTCAAACACAGTTCCCGATCTTGAAAAGTTCCATTCTTCTTCGATTTATAGGTATCTGATTTTCAATTTACTCCTTTTCCCCTTTGTTTTCTTTGATTTTTTCTTTCACATGGGTCGATTTGAGGGAAGAAGAAATTGGTACTATTTAACAATTGAGCTTAAAATTGTATCTCAATATTGATTGTACTCTACTAATTATTACTACTTAATAACTGAACTTAAAATTATATTTTAATCATCACTGAACTATGTATCGTGTTACACATCCATCATTCAAGTCGACGTTTTTTGTTGAACCAAAGGATTTTTTGACTTGAGTGATGTATGGATAACACGATGCATAGTTCAGTAACCATCAAAATACATTTTAAGTTTAGTTATTAAATAGTAACACTTGACATAGTTCAATAGCCATTATCTCAATGGGTTGCTTAACATATTTTTAGAAAATTGTCACATGAGAAAAATAAATGGTGTTCACACGAGACTTTATCAAATTGGTATGGTAAAGAAACAAAAACATTATGAAGAGTCCCATCTAAATTCTAGAACTTTATTATGCCCCGTTCGGAGGGGGTTAAAATCAGATTTTTAGCAAAATTTAATAAAAGTTGATGAAATATATGGTTGAAAAGTTATAAGATCCATAAAATGTGTGGTTAAAATTAATTGTTGAGTTTGATATAGATAAACCCTGAATTTTAATTTCTACCAAACACAATCTATATGTTGAAATCATTAGATTTGGATGTGTTTTTGTTTTTATTTACAATGTTATGTTGTAGATATTAAATAAAACTCATTGGAGATTTTTTTCTTCTTGATTTTTTATTCATTAAACGTTAATATCGCTTATATAAAAATCCACACAAGGTAATTTCAGCTTTTAATGACTATACCAACAATTTGGATCATTGGGATTCATGTGGGAATTATTGATAACATAGCACTAACTATGATTTGATTGATTATGCATGTAGGAGTTTTGATGTGGAGTGAGGTTCTGCAGAATGAATGCAGGAAATTATTTACGCATTGCACTCGATCTAAGGTCTTGTCCATTTTAAAGATCAATTATCAATGGTAAAAAAGAAGCTCTTTCGTGACAATCTCGAGTTCTAAATTTTTCCTCGTTATTGCCCGAATGTCTAATCATAATAGAGACTTTAGGAATGAGATCTAAAATTGGTTCAAGGGGTTTCAACCTTCATGTATGGTCTTTAGTAGTAGGGATGACAGTTTTACTTTTTGAAAATTGATATTTCAAATAGCAATTTTGTATATGTTAACATGGATTTGCCATGGAATCTTGACAAGAAATTTGGACAAGTCAAGATTTGCCTACTACTTCGACAAGACCGTTAGTTTCATTAGGAGGGTAACGCAATTCTTTAAATGAACGGAACATAAAATATAATGGACAAAATTGACCAAAAAAAAAAAAAAACCTAATTAAGAATGTGTTTGTTACTCATTTTTCCAAGAATGAGAATGAGTTTTCTTACCGTTGCTGAACCAAATTCAAATTAATTGTGAGAAGGAAGTCAACTTTGTCAGGCAAGTGGGGCCCAACCAACGGATCTATTTTTTCTAGAAATGGAGAAAAAATGGGTAGCAAATAGGGGCTTTGTTTAAATTGATTGTGCTACGAACCCAAACAACATGGGACGAGATAATTATGATAATTTTGAAACAAAACTTTATAATGCTTGTTTGAATTATTTATCTTTTTCCTTTAAAGTACCCGCCCCCCACCCCCCGCCCCGGTACTAAGAAAGATCTTGAAAAAGAGAAACTTCATTTTACATCCGTCACTTACAATCTTCCTTGTATGCTCTGCAAGGTATCAATACTTAGCTTCACTACTAAAAAAAAAACTTTTATTGACACGAAATTCAATTACTTCTATATTGCGAAAATACCTACTATTACTTTTTAAATTTTTATTTTTTAATAAAATATCCCCTCAACAATTTTGTTTAAAAACTCAAATTGCTCGAGGCACAACTTGCTAATGGTAAATGTTGTGTAACGCGATAGTTGGAGTTTGTTTGACCCTCATTTTATTTTGAGAATGCATTTTTAAATTGTAGATCGATGGGAAGTGTATAGTTAAAAAATAAGAGAAATTTTTAAGTTTGCGTTTAATATTATTTTATTGAAAAATATATGATTGAAAAAAGAAAAAAATATATTTTAAAATTAACGTGATAAAAAAAGGGGTTTGATATAATAAAAATAAGATCTTTCAAAGAGAAAATCAACAATTTTGTGTTGAGAAAGAGAGGAGAATAATTAATTTAGTGTACAACATTAGTTGTCAACAATGGTTGACAATCATGGACTGTCAAAATCCTAGTATGTGACGTATAAAACAGTTTTTCAAAATGAATGAATATGATGTGGAGTAGAATATTGTCAATTATTGTTGTACATGTAGTAGGGAACTGATAGTTCAATTGATTACCCAAGAAAGTAGGAATTATTCCTTGGGCCTAACCGCCCTCCGCGAAACTTCGCGAACCTACCTAAGTCCACCGCCTCTAATATCCATTTTATTCTCATATAACTGGAGCAAATTTGCAGATTCATTCTCAAGCGAAGCATTTCCATTTGATTAGAAACACTTTTGCAATGGCCGAGGACAATGCTGTTACGGTCTATGGAAGCAACGCCGCCATCACCAATGCCAAAAAGAACCCATTTCCGATCAAAGTCGGGATAGCCCAGATGCTCCGGGGTGGTACTATTGTAGAAGTCACCACCATTGAACAAGCCAAGATCGCCGAGTCCGCCGGCGCTTGCTGTGTAATTGTATCGGATCCACCCAGAGAAGGAATTTCCCGCATGCCTGATCCGGGTCTGATTAAAGAAATCAAGCAATCCATCTCAATTCCCTTAATGGCAAAAGCCCGGGTTGGGCATTTCGTGGAGGCTCAGATTTTGGAGTCCGTAGGAGTTGATTATATTGATGAAAGTGAGGTTTTAGCCATCGCTGACGAGGATCATTTTATTAATAAGCATAATTTTGGGACGCCTTTTATTTGTGGGTGTCGCGATCTGGGAGAGGCTTTAAGGAGAGTGAGAGAAGGGGCTGCGATGATACGCTCTCAAGGTGACTTGATGGGATCTGGGAATGTAGTGGAGACTGTTCGTAGTGTGAGGAAGGTGATGGGCGAGATTAGACGTTTGAATAACATGGACGACGATGAGGTGTTTGCGTTTTCTAAGCAGATTATAGCACCTTATGATATTGTGGTACAGACGAAACAAATGGGGAGGCTGCCGGTGGTGCATTTTGCTGCTGGAGGTATAGTGACCCCTGCCGACGCTGCACTGATGATGCAATTGGGATGTGATGGAGTGTTTTTGGGACCAGAGGTTCTCAGTTCTGCCGATCCTTATAAGAGGGTTCGGGCTATTGTGCAGGCTGTTAGGAGTTATAATGATCCTGTGGAGCTGGCACAGGCGAGCAGTGGTTTAGAGGATGCAATGGCAGGGTTGAATCTTTCTGAGAATAGGGTTGAGCCGTTTGGTGCTGCAAGTACTTACTGAATGGTTGATGAGAGCTGCATTGAATCTGTGTATCTATCTGTTTTGGAGTGTGTAGGAATGATTATGTAGTGGAATGTTACGGTTAGAGGTTACTCTTCTTAATTGGTGTCTTTGCATTTACTATTGAATGAAAATGAACTGATATTCATACATGCCTTCTTGTCTCTTTGTGATGAAAAATGACAGCAAATTGAGAATATAATTGTTGTTTAGCTTGGACTTGTAAAATTGTAGAAACATTGCTATTGCTTAGGTGCGAAAGCACATTGGTTTACTGCAAATGTGCGTTTCATATAAAATCAATTCGTTGATGAGAATTGTGAACTTCGTCAAATTTTTAAAACCTTCTGTTATTCTCCATTTAGTTATGGTTATGGTTATGGTTTTGTCATTGCATTGTTCTTATAATTTGATGAGCTGTAAGGCACGGTGGCATACACGTCAAGACATGCAAGGAAAAGGAAAAAGGGAAAATAAGAGAAAATGTATATTATCATTCCCCTGTATTACTCAATATTAATAATGGTAGCTATTACAGTTTTTTACAAATCAATTCCTTCCATTCATGTTTGCATGACATATTTTATGGTCACTGCAAAACTTAAAACTTCTCTGATGAAAATATACATAGAGCACGTATTTGGATTAGAATTTGCTTCAGTCCCTGAAATTTCCCGCACTTTGCCTCCAAGTGATTCTTCATGGCTCGATGTCCTTTTCGTTGTCAATGAAATGTCATATTGCTTCAGTGAATTGTTTTCTTCAATAAATTTCTCTAAGAGGGTCAATTCTTAATGCCAAGAACTTCAAGTACCAGGGTACTCTGTATTGCCTCTTGAGTTATTGTTGTTAATTAGGCACCTCAGTGCTGCTTCATACGCAGTAAAGGTCACCCCATTCACAATGAAGGCTCTGGCAACTGTTGTTCCTAAACCTCGCCAGAGAATGCTAGAGTCTTTCACACTCCTCTTGAAGTATTCACCAATGCCCATGGATTTAGGTTGGGAGGAATTTGACTGAGCCTGAATTTTGGTTTTAATTACATCTAAAGGATAGCAACAAATCCAGCTAGCTACTCCGGCAAGACCTCCTGCGGTGAGCATTGTTCTGAAACTCTCCTGGCCAGTTTTTCTGCATCCTTGGTGAAGTTTCTCTCTCATATACTCATACGTACAGAAGTAGACACCATGGGATGGTCCATCCCTTAGCACAGTGATGGTGAAACCTCGGTAAATTCCTCTCCAACCTTCTGTTCTAATTATGCTTCTTGCAATATCTGCTGGACCCTTGTAATTGCCTGATTGTTTTGTTTTATAATGTGTATTATTACTATGCAGCTGAAGACGGATTTTCACTAGCTCAATGGGACTGATAAGTACACTTTGTATTACTCCAGCTCCAATTCCTCCTAGAGCAACCCCTGTGTATGATGGAGGATCACCAGCCTGAACATTCGTGTCAAATGCTCGTGATAGTGTAGCATATGTCTTGAAAACTATGGCATTCTGCAGTTTGAAGCTAAGTAAGTTTTCACAAGGAAACCTAAAAAGAATACTACAATGCATTTACTTTTGCATTTTAAAGTTAGCTTTGCAATTCCTGTACTATCTATGTTCAGTGATCACTCGTATGTTTAACCTGTAGCATTATGTGTTTAAGTTCCATGACTTGATGTACGTGTGTCTTGTGAACAAGAGACAGGAGCATAAATTTGAACGCAATAGAATCCTAGGAAACAATGCCTTGTGAATGTGATCACAAAATGATCTTGTATGTAATCTTGGTAAGAGGTGGAAAATGAATGAAGAACAAGAACCTGGAAAGCGACAGAGGCCAAGGGAGCAGCCATTCCCTTGTAGAGGGCAAACGGTCCCTCGTTGGCTAGAACTTGCCGTAGAATGCTAATGGCAGAACCCTTGCCTGTGTGCTGCTGCTGCTGAAGGATTCTGAGAGTATCAAGGGGATAACCAGCCACGACTCCAGATGTTCCTCCAATTCCTCCTGCCACCAATTCTTTTCCCCAACCACTTGTAAGAAACTTTTCCCAGATATCCATTGTCTTGTGCTTTCTCCTTTTTCGAATTTTCAGTTTTGTTGTTGCAATCCAATTTTCCCTTCCTGTGCAAAACCAGGGATTTGGATTTTAAAGAAACAAGAGAGATACTCAAGGATCTTGAATGTAATTAAAAATTTTAAGCTTTGAGGGATTGAATGTACTCAATTGAATGTTGTAAAACTGAGTGACTACCATTTACAAAGCATGTGTATGGCTTGGAGATTATATAGGTAGTGGAAGAATTGATATCATAGAAAAGAATGGAAAAAATCTCCTGCTCCCATTGGAACCAAAATCTTTTTAAAAAATTAATTAAATAATAATTGGGATAATTAGCAAAATTGGAATAATAAGCAGGACTGATATCCATTACCCTGTTTTATAGTTAAAAATAGCTTGATTTTCTGGAGTATGGACATGTATCAATCGATCAAGTGCTTTACTATTTTCAATTCTGATTTAGAATCGCTTGGTTAGACACTCGTTTTACGTAAAATGACTTGAATCTTTTAACCGTGATGACGTCCTTAATCTACTAATTTTTTAGGACAAAAATGAGATGAAAAATTAGCTGAGGATAGGGAAGTATGTTGACAAAAGATTGGGAGTAAATTTGAAATTTTCCCTTCTTAACAATCCAATCAAATCCGTTACTGGCATGTCGAATTGATATAATGAAGAAGCGAGCAAGTCGAATTGATAATCAAGAAATGAGCAAGTCGCTGATAGAAAGAATACATAATGTGCAATTTCTATCCAACAAAATTTAACTGTTTTTTTTTTAACTGATCAAATATATTTTTTATCTGGCTTAATAGCGCAAAACGTCCCTACGTTTCACCCCTATTGTGGAAAACGTCCCTACGTTCCATTTTTTTGCATTTTCGCCCTTATTTAAACGTTTCCTTGCGCTGAACGTCCTTTTAACTAAAATACCCTTCTTTTTAAATAAAAGAGAAGAAAAATAAGGAACAAATTGCAATCTTACTCCTAAACTTTTTAAAAAGTGCAAATGAGTCCAAATTTGAAAAAACTATCACCAAGCCAAAAAATCCAAATGCTGGCTACCACCTTTGAAGCCAAAAAACTCCGGCCAACCACCGCCCAAACAATCGAACCTACATACCGCCGGAAAGCCCTCGCTCCCCTCTACACACGCAATCCAACATCCAACCTTCATGGCAACAGATTTGGTAGAAATTGCAAGCCAAAAGACACATCCCGAGAAGCCAAAAACACTCTGAATTCGGCCACTTCAAAGCCAAATTCCGGCGCCGTCGTCAATCCCCATGATACCAGACCATCCACCCTAGTACCGCCTCTTCATGGCGCATCTAATGCACCTATGGGTCATGGTCAATTTTGCCCAAAAATGGACGAACCAGCCTCGACAATTCGCGCACACAACGAC